TTACAAAGCAGATACAGTAAAATGCACAGAGCAAAGACTACAGCAAAACCAAATCATTCCAGATTTGCTATTTAAAAAATTACGTGCCCTGACGTTTTAGAGGACATACAGGACTATTTACTTGACTGTTTTAAAACGAAAGAGAGTACCAGAAACCTTTGATCCGAAGGCCACTGGTCATTTCTCATTGCAACCACCTGTACAGTGCATCTAATCTAAAGCCTCTGTCTCTGATTCTGATGGAGATAAAGCGGATGGCACATCCTACCTGCACGTGAGCTCTTTGAAGAGGAAAAGGGAAGGGAAAAAATGTAGAAACCACCAATGGTGCACTGACCTTCTGGACAGTAGTCGTCAGATCCAAGCAAAGCTGAATAATTTTGTTCTTTGTTACTGAGAAATCAGTGATCCCTGTAAAAGGAGCCCTGGAAAGCAACAAAAATTCTCTTTAAAAAACAAGAATCACTGGGATCCCACACTGTATGTTGACAAACATAGCTATACAACTATTAACTCATTTAAATGACTGATTATAGAACTGTTTTTCTCAAGTAACACATAAAGGAGGGATGTGAATAGAAAAGAGAGAAGTGCTAGATAAAGACACATCAAAAAAATGAGACAAGAGAACTGACAGCCTGTCAGAAGTCAACAACAATCTCCATGCCAACCAAATACTCAGTCTTTACTGCTTACTCTCAGTATCACACAGCCATTATCACAGTTTCACTCTTCTCTGAGGTTAATTTGTTCCTCCTATTAACCTTTTAGGAGCTCTGGTAGCATAGTGCCTAAGGCACTTGACTGCTAACCAGAAGGCTGGTGGTTCAAACCCACCAGCCACTCTTTGGAAGGAAGGTTGGGCAATCGACCGTAGTGATACTGCCTCGGAAACCCAAGGAGGGTCCGACTCGACGGCACATAACAACATTAACCTTTTAAGTAACTTCCAAACCATTGATTGCTAACAAGTCGATTTTGATTCATGGCGACCCCACATGTTACAAAAAAGAAATGAGCTCCACTGAGCTTTCTTTGTGGTAATGTTTACAGAGACAGAGTCCCGGGGTGCAGTGGTCAAGCGCTCGGCTCCTAACGGAAAGGTCGGTTTGAACCCACTAGACGCTCTGTAAGAGAAAGATATGGCAGTCTGCTTCCAGAAAGATTACAGCCTTGGAATCCCTATGAGGCAGTTCTCCTTGTCCTATAGGGGCTGAAAGACAGAACGGAATTGACAGCAATGGTTTTTATTTTTGGTAATCCTTACATAAGTGGTTGGCCAGGCTTTTCTTCCATAATGTCACTGAATGGGTTTGAACCGCCAACCTTTAGGTTAGCAGCAGAAGGCAAACCACTTGTGCTATCTAGGAACCTTAGTAACTTCTAAAGGTGCCTAAAATCGACCACTCATCTGAAGCTCCTGGAGAGTTCTGGTGAAAAGGACATGAAAGGGACAACTGGTTCTTTTTCCTAAAACAAAGCATAGCCTTCTGTAATCTCAGAGCCTCCCCTTCTCAGGAAAAGAACGGCAGGCCTTCACTCACCGGTCCAGCCAAGCCAGCAAGGCCTTCGCAGCGCCAATGAGCTCCACCACCGAGGTCAGGAACTCGTTGGGGGGCTTGCGTGAGGAGCTCCCGTCATAAACTGGACTTTCCCGCCGGCTACTTATGTAATTCTGTAGGTTGTGGGAAGAAGCTCGCAGCTTCAGAACCAAGTTCTTCATATTATCTGTCTCAAGGCCGTAATTCTGTGGGAAATAAAAGCGGAAAAATTCAAAACAACCGACAATACCCAAAACTCTCATAGCTCAAAGACCACTGGTAACTTGAATAATTCCTACAATGGCCACAACACCCTATCTGAATTGGCCCATGGCTCTGAACTCATCTGCAAATTCTTCTTCCTGAAACATTCTTCCTACAGATCTTGGCAGGGACAGCATTTTCTTATCACTCACATCCTGGCCTGACCACTGAATACAAAACAAGGATTCTCAACCTCAGAACTACGGATTTTTGGGGCCAGATAATTTTTTGCTGTTTTTTTGGGGGGGGAGGAGGAGCACTATACTGTGCATTTGTTGTTGTTGTTGTTGTTAAGTGACACTGACTCAACTTTCACTCACAGCGATCCCATGTGACAAAGGAGAACTGGCCCATAGGGTTTTCTAGGCCACAAGGAACCCTGGGGTGCAATGGTAAAGCAGTTGGCTGCTGAGAGGTTGGTGGTTCAAACCCACCAGCGACTCTACAAAACAAAGACCTGGGTTTCTGCTCCTGTGAAGATCACCACCTAGAAAGCTCTCTGGGACAATTCTACCCCGTCACACAGGGTCACCATGAGTCAGAATTGCCTGACGGCACACAACAACCATCTTTATGGGAGTGGACTGCCAGGTCTTTCTCCCACAGAGCTACTGCATGGGTTCAAACCACCAACCTTTCAGTTAGGAGCTGAGCACTTAACCATTGTGCCACCACAGCTCCTTGTTCTGTAGACTGCAGATACTGAGCAGAATCCCCGGCCTCTACCACGGGGCACGAAAGTGTTAAATTACTGTCCAAAGTTGTACGACTACTGAGTGGTGGGGTCAGGACTCTTATCAAGGCATCCGCACGCAGCGCAAGCTCTGAGCCCTGGGCTGGGGCTCCCCCTTCTGCGCACACCACCCAAGGAAGAGCAAATGGACTAAGCAGAAAAAAGGATGGATGTGAGGCCAATTGGCTAGTGAGCCCAGATCCAGCAAAATGAACAAGCTGGGAAGCTAACAGCTTTTAAACACCTAAAAATTCTATCTCGGCCTACTCCATCCCTGTACCATATGTTGTTGTTGTTGTTGTTGTTATTTGCCGTCGAGTCAGCCCCGACTCATAGCGACCCCTCCTTGGGTTTCTGAGGCAGTATCATTACGGAAGTAGGATTGCCCAACCTTCCTTCCAAGGAATGGCTGGTGGGTTTGAACCGCCAGCCTTCGGGTTAGCAGTCAAGTGCCTTAGGCACTATGCCACCAGAGCTCCTATATAAGGAGCTCCTTTCAGATGCCTTCCACCATCCCCCACCTCACTCTTCCAAGATCACCTTCGGGAGCTCCTTTTCTTCCTGCTGCTTCTAAGCCGGCTCCTTCAGTTTTGTGTCTCCTGACAGCCCCCAAACCCCAACCCACTGCCATCAAGTCGATTCTGACTCACAGTGCCCCCAGAGGACACAGGAGAACTGCCCCATAGGGTACTTTATCGAAGTAGATGGTCACATCTTTCTCCCATACAGTGGCTGGTGGATTCTAACTGACAACCTTTTGGTTAGCAGCTGAGTGCTTTAACTGTTGTGCCAACAGAGGTCCTTCCCTGACAGCCCAGGGAAGGAAAATCATGTTTCAAAGTCAAGATCTATGAAGCGGAAATACACAAAGTTGGCAAAAAATTTCTTTTTCAAAGTTTCCAAGAACTTTTTTGCAAGATGTAAGTTAACAACCAAAGATTTTGACCTAGTGGTTTAAAATAATTCATCAAAGCCTTATTGAAAACACTTTTTACTTCAAATAAGTTTTATTTAACTTTTAATTTTATATTACTTCTCAATAAAATTAAAAAAATAATAATTTTTAAAAGATTATATACAAATGCTGAAAAGAGTGAAGCATAAATATATTAAAGAATAAAACTTCTCAGATCTAGTAACTCTTCTGCAAGCTTTTTTTAACAAAGTATCACAGAGGAGCTCTGGTGGTGTAGTCCCTAAGGCATTTGACTACTAACTAGAAGGCTGGGGATTCAAACCCACCATCTACTCCTTGGAGGGAAGACTGGGCAAACTACTTCTGTAGTGATACCTCCTTGGAAACCAAAGTGAAGGGGTCGCTATGAGTTGGATCCAACTCGACAGCAGTGAATTTGGTTTGGTTTTTGGTTCTAGGTATGACAGTGCAAGTGAAGTATGTGTACTAACAGGCCTTTCCTATCTGGATATATTCATTCATTATCTTCCTCACTCTCATATTCTAGAGACTAAAATATGATACTGTTCTTCAAAACACAACAAACACAACTCCCTGTCATTGAGTGGATTCCAATCATAGTGACCCTCCTTGGGTTTCCAAGGCTGTATATCTTTACTGAAGCAGAATGCTGCATCTTTCTTCCATGGAGCAGCTGGTGGGTTCAAATCATTGACCTTCTGGTCAGCAGCCAAGTGCTTTAACCACTGCACCACCAGAGCTCCTCAATTGTTCTTCAGTAGAGAACACAAAAATAAAAAGATACATTTCCATCACCGCTTTTTAAATTCAGAGACTCAAAACTCATACGTTGATGATAAAGAATCCACATGACACAGCTTGTTTTTAAGGACTTGTCACTATGATAAAAGTAATGTCCGCTCATTCTGTCCATTTACTCAAACTGCCAACTTTTAGCAGGAATTTAGAGCTAAAAATCAAGAAAGTCAAAGTTCTACAGTCAACGCCACCATAAATTACTTGCTACTTTTATTACTATACTAAACATTTACTTCTAAACTCAAAAGAAGATTAAATGTGTTTTATTGTTACAAGAAATTTTAAATCTTAATCTTCCACAAGCCTGACACTTTGAATGCTAAGATATGGGGGAGGGTAGCTTCTTATTAACTGATTTTCTTTATTTTCCATCTAATTTGTCCTGATTTACCCCTCCCTCCCCCAAAAATTACGGGACTAAAGGATATACAGGCTTACCTATAAACCCAGAAAACCAAACACACTACCATTGAATCAATTCTGACTCATGGTGACCCTTTTAGAGCAGAGCAGAACGCCCTATAGGGTTTCCAAGGCCACATCTTCCTCCCATGGAGCTGGTGGTGGGTTCGAACCAGCAACCTTTCGGTTGGCAGCCTAATGCTTTAACCACTATGCCGTCAGAATTCTTTGCCCGTATTTTAAACTTATTTTAGCTGTAATAGAGTGTAATTTTTAAAAGAAGGCAGGAGACAAGGAAGGCAGGAAAGGTCCCTTCCCCCCTTCAACAGTAATGCACAGTTAGGACAGAACAAAACACTGATTATGTTAGCTCAAAACAGCCTCGACTGTACAAACATAATCAGGAAAGGATTATTGACTTAAGTGCCCCACAATGAAAGACAGAAAGCGAAAACTTCTCAGACTAGCTTTGATGATTTTTCACCAGTCCTTTTTGTAAAACACATCTCTTTCAGAAATTGTTTTCAAGATGAGGCATCAAGAAGATACAAACTAAGCAACAAATGAAACACATCTCTAAAAAATACACACATACTAAAAAGGCCCCACTGAGGTTTCACTTCATTCCAGGCCAGCCATTGGGGCTCATTCCCTGGTCTGGCAGAGAGAAAAGAAACTCTAGATGGGAGAGGGAAAGAGAGTTCTCACTCTTCTGGTCCCTCAAAATCATTCCCATTTTTGCTCAGGACACATCACAGATGCTCTGCCCTCTGTTTCCATTCCAACTAGCTGTGTGTGAGGCCTAACACAAGTGATCAAGGGATGGCAGGGAAACAATGAAAACCATCTTATGGACTTGTGTCAGTTAAGTTACAACCTAAGAAACATCCATGGTTCTCCTGAAGGCATTTAATAAGGTCACAGCAAAATCAAGTCAACACAAACAGCTGGAAAAGACTCCCATTCTTTCACAGTCTTTCCTCCAAAGAAAGGGTAAGGTTTTTAATGCTTTGTTGTTGGTAAATGATAACCAATCTTACTTGACAGAAAGTCCACTTAACCACACATCTAGGCAGCATCACCTAACATGTGTATCGAATCCAACTTTGTTTCCTTCCCCAACCTGCTTCACCCTGAAACATACCACTGTCTCTGCCTGAATCTTCAGGAAACCAGGGCCTCACTGATTTGGCAAAGAGCACAAGTTACAACCACACTTTGTTGCTCTCAATGACACTCTCTAGACCAGTACTGTCAACAGAACTTCCTGCAATGAAGAAATGTTCTCTCTGTGTCCAATATGGTAGCCACTAGCCAATGTAGCTACTGAGCTCTTGACATGTAGCTAGTGTAACCAAGGAACAAACTGTATTTAATTGCAGTTTGTTTCAATTTAAATAGCCACATATGGCTAGTAGCTCTTCTACTGGAAAGAGCTGCTCTTAGTGTCTATCCCAGTTACCTTCTGCCCAGGCAGAGGCAAAGCAATTGGGCTCAGATTCTGAATTTGATCTTGGAAAGTGGTCCTAGTTCTGCCTCATAATACAGGTCCTGGAGTTGCTGGGTGGTGCCAAGAGCTAACATGCTCAGCTGCTAACCACAAGGTTGGAAGTTCACATCTGCCCAGAGGCACCTCAGAAGGAAGGTCCAATGAGCCACCTCCAAAGTATCAGTCACTGAAAACCTTGGGAGCTCGGCCCTACTCTGGCACACCCGGGGTTGCCCAGAGTTAGAATCAACTCAATGGCAACTGGTTTGCTTTTTGGAAGCCACTCCAGCTGGCCAAGGTCAACCTTAACATAAGGTGGTTTCTCCTTGTTCTCTAACCATGCCTAGCTAATTAAGATCCATCTGGCCAGTCATACTGAAGTCTTAATCAATAGCTGTTCCCTAGTTTATGTTCCTGTCCATACTGCCTACCCTTCTCTTGGTTCCAACACTTTCAGTGGTTCTATTTGTTTTTTCCTTCTCCCTTCCTTATTTCTAATTCCAGGCATTTCCTGTTCACCATAAAATCAGCACTCACTAAACTAAGTTACAAAAATGTTACAGAAAGCCTCTTTTCTATCACCAGGGGCCAAGTGCACAAACACATTAACTGTCAAATCATTCGAGGCAAAAAATTATCACCAATCTGTACGCCCAAAGATCTATATGATGTAAATTACTAAATAGATGGTTTAATGCATAGATGTATCACAATAAGAGTATCTTAAGAGGGACATTAGATCAAGATAAAAGATGTTTTAGTAAAACTCTACTTGAATCTCAAAAAGAGCATTTTCTTTTGTGTATCCTCCAAGGAACCTTCTGGCACATGTGTCCCCTGGCACTCCACCGCACAAGGCATGTGCAGAATGAGTCTGAGGTCAAAACTTTGTCTACAAAGGAAATGAGAAGGAAATTGTAGGAGATAAAACACAGCTTGAAGGTTCTGGCATTTGTCCAGCTTTGTTCATTTTAATCTAGTATTTTAAGAGGTGGAAGGGAGAACAGTATGGAGAATGGCCAGAGGCATCTGACATGCCCATTATCCCATGTAATGTACACACTGTGCTTCCAGTCAACCCTTCCACCTCCTCAAACCCAGTGCAGACTTCAAAGTCATTCACCTGTCCTCAAAGGAGTAGCAGAACGTGAAAGAAACAGTTCACATCTGCAGACAGAACCCGCACAAACGTCAGAAAAGCAATATGCCCAGGAAGTACCATAAAAGCAGATTCAGAAATGTTTTATTATATAAAAAACATACAGTTGTAATAAAAAACAGGGTGCTCAGACATCGTCTGGCACACCTGTGTACACAGCCACCTCTGAGGTGAATGTGACTGTATTCACGAAGAGTAAGGACACCACCACTTCCCCTGAGGTCACAGAACGAGCTGCACGCAGCAGAGCCAAGACTGGAATTCAAAAACCAAGCCTCCCAGGGCAACGCGCTCCGACCACTCGGCCACAGTGGCTCCCTTGTGGCAGCTCATTTATCAAGTGCAAATAATTTCCCCATGACTTTCCTAAACAGGAACAGTGCATCTCGGAGCAGAAGACAAGCTCTGTCCATTTTAAGAAGAAGAATACACACAATGCGGCGAGTGTTATACAATCAGCGGAACACAGAGCAGCCGTGGCAAAATCCTCAGCGGCACATTCTTTCCCACCGTTCTCAGTGATGTCATTGTATATGGCCCTGGCTCGCGTTCCTAGCATTACTAACCAGCCTGAACGCTGCTGGGTTTGTCCCAATCCTGGCATTTAAGTAAACTGCCTCCTTGCGTGGCACCGTGACAGGAGACTTCCCCTCCTGTGCCAACCAGTTTGCAAACAAAATGCCCTAACAGGTACCCTTAGCCTACCCCACAAGTAGCTACCCGGGGGACATAGGGGTAACACGAGGAGCCAGAACTAGGCAGGATTTCATTCATTCACATGAAAGCCAAAACTCAGGATCTGCAAAATGTAACAGCTTCTCGTTTCCCCCATCTAGCTACCATCTTAGAGGCTATTTTAAGTACAAGCATCAGTTATTTAAATATCACAAGGAGCTGTTAAACTCAAATGCCTTATATAATGATGAAAACAGACGTGAAAACCAGAACCCTTTTCTCATTTTAATTTAGAAAGTGACATTTTCATCCAGGACTCTCTCCATCTCTTTATTCCTTACAAAAGATAAGAAAATAAGATTAATGCAGTCTTTTCTGTGAGTGGCAAACTTCTTTAGTAAAGAACAAGATGGTGTAGAGTTTGGGCTGTGAGGAACTATGTGGTCTTAGTCTCAGCTACTCCAAAAGCCACGAGTACAAGAGCCATAACCAAATCGGTTGCTGTTGAATCAATTCCAACCCCGGGCAACCCCATGTGGTCAGAGTACAACTGTGCTGCTCCAGGTTTTCAATGGCTGCGACCTTTTGGAAGCAGGTGGCTAGGCCTTCCTTCCCAGGTGCCTCTGAGTTGGGTGGATTTGAACAGCAAACCTTTCAAAGAGTAGCCAAGTGATTAACCATTTGCACCACCAAGTGCTTCTAGTCACAGCTAACACATAAATGAACAGACATGGCTGTGTTCCAACAAAACTTTATTTACAAAAACATGATGGGCTAGGTTTGACCCACAGGGCATAGCTTGCCAGACCGTAATCTAGAAAACTCTTTATTCCAGGGCTTCAAACTGATTCAAACTGATTCAATCATAGCCCAAGAAGCAAAATTGGAACAGACTTGAATTTTTAAAACGTTGAGTGTAGCAGAATAATAACCAGAATGGAAAAATTATGGGTTGAAGCTCTGGAATGGGAAAATCAGAAGAGATGTACTGAGTCCTTTCAGGAGTGGGAAAGTGGACTATTGCTAAGACTAGAGAGTGACACACATTTAACATGGCAGGTCAGCCACCATCTTTGAGCAAGGCATCACTGTTTGTGACTGTGCCAGTCAAGAGATTTGGCTGCTGTGCAACACACACACTGCTGGATTTTGAAGCCCTGTTCTCTTCTCTTACTGTATTATCCTTAGCTCATACTTCACATCAATGGACCATTAAGAAAACTGGGATATGTGGAGGTTGAAACAATGAAGATTTAAGAGGCGGTTTTCAAGAGCACCAGCACAGTGCACATCACTTCTCCTGAACTAACCAGCGCACAGAGAAGGTCGACAGCCTCCAGCACGAGCTCCTGGTGTCCGATGCGGGTGACACCCAGCTCCTCGAGGTCCTGGTGCGAAATCTGCAGCAGCTGCTCCCCATTGATCTTCTCCCGTTCGAACTTGTGGACGTACTGCTGCAAGCAGTCATCCAACCCTACCAAAGGGGAAAAGAAAGGAAGGTCATGGTTGACATTTGGTTCTCTTACTCAAAAAAGTGCTCACATTTATTGTTCCAAATATTCACAGCAAAACATTCATCAATTCAACGGTTTCTACATGTACAATTCAGCGACACTGGTTACATCCTTCCAATTGTGCAGCCATTCACACCTTCTTTCTCTGACTTGTTCCTCCTCTACTGGCATAAACTCTCTTCCCTCAAGCTTCTCCTGTAACCTTTCAAGGTGCTGTTAACAATTTGATCCCACATACTAAGTTTTTAAAAAGAGCACAAAACTCACAGTGAACATTCTTTACTAGTTAAGCTAGATCGTTGTTTGGTTTAAAGAAGGCTCCAGGGGATATTTTGGGTTCATGAGTTGAGGACCAGAGATCATCTCAGGGCAATAGTCTTGAGGTTTCATCAAGCCTCACTGCCTCCAGAAAGTCTGGATTCCATGAGAACTGAAATTCTATTCCACATTTTCCCCTTTGGGATCAGGATTCTCCTATAGAATCTTTTGATTAAAGTGTTCAGTAATGACATGATAGACAGGTACCATCCATTTCTGGTCTCACTGAAAAGGAGGCTGTTGTTGATGAAGCAATCATACAGAAATAGGAAAAAAAAAAAAAAAAAAAAAAGCCCACATTTCAATGAATCTCAGCAATATAATTTGTGTTGCCACTATTTGACGGTCGATATGATGTGTATCCTACCCAATGGACACTTTTGGAGTGACAGCTTGTCATCTCAAACAGGTTTTCAATATACAAAATTCTCAAATGAATGTAGTACAATTCCATTCCTTATAAACTAACGTAATAATCACTAAACCTTTGTTGATTTGAAATGCTAGTATAGATACTTAGCATATATTGTTGTTGCTAAGCAACCCTTCTTTTGAGACACTCCCTCTCTTCCCAGTAGGTTTGTCAATCAAGATGCTTTGCCACAGTGCATAGCACTCTATCTGCTAGCCATTCATAGGTGCAAGGATGGCCATGTGAGTCTAGCAGGACCAATCAAAATCTTCCTTAGTATTTGATACACAGAGCCAGGAAAAGAGAGGTTTTTCCTTCCTTTTCAACTGGAAGCCATAAGGATACAACCTTGGGGATGCTGGCAGTCATTTTTCTGATTACTTGTCTGAAAATAAATCCAACAAACATTTGGAAGCAGTGTTTATGAGAGAGAGGGAAAAATGCCCCAATGATATCTTATATACCCCTGGACTAACTCCACTTACAGATATTTCTACCCTTAGAATTTTTCACTTAAGGTGACACAAATTTCCTTTTCAGCTTAAGCATGTTTGTCTTGGGTTTCTGTCCCTTGAAAATGAAAAAATCCTTATGAATATAGAATCCAAGGAAAATTGTACCAATTAAAAGTTGCAAGCAGCCATCTAGATCCAACAATTGGTCTCTTCTCATCCAGAGCAAAGAAGAATGACGAAAACCAAAGAAGCATGGAAACAATTAGTCCAAGGGACTAGTGGACCATGCGAACCTCAGCCTATATGATCCTGAGACCAGAAGAACTAGATGGTACCCAGCTACACTGTCTACCACTTGGAAAAGGATCAGTACAGTAGATCCTGGATAAAGTGGGAGAACAATGTGGAATAAAACTCAAAATCATAAAAAAAGACCAGGCTTACTGGTCCAATAGAGATTGATGAAACTCCTGAGACCATGGCTCCTAGTTACCCTTCAGGCCTGGAATTGAACTCACTCCTGTGGCTTCCAGCCAAATGATGGACAGGCATAAAAGATAAACATTTACAACAGGTAGTACACTCTTTAGAACAATCAACCACAGGAGATCAGCAGGGCAGTACAGGAAGATAGCTCAGAGGGCAGGAGTACACAGGAAAGAAGGACACAGGGAAAAGATAACCACAGGGAGGAAGTGCGAAGAGAGCTGTTACATTGTGGGATTATAATGTCATGAATCATGTGTATGAACTGCTGTATGGAAAATGAATTTGCTGTGTAAACTTTTACCCAAATCACAATTAAAAAAAAAAAAAAGTGAAGAAAATGGTACCAGCTGTGGTCCCAGAGAAACACAATGCTGAGTAAGTTACCTTATAGCACATTTTACAGGTCAAACACTACTGTGAACAGTGCTGTATTTTAATGCTTTAAAAAAATTATAATAATTATTAAAATAGGTAAGCCAACTAGAACTTGAGTCTTTATTGCTATACAGAAATCTCTCTAGTAAACTTAATGTTTAATGGTTTTACCAGAATAAAGTTAGACCCTGAATCATCTAATCTATTCAAACATAATAATAAACATCACCTTATATTTTGAAAGACTAGGTTTATATAAATGCAATCCCAACAAAAAGGAAAAATCTCAATTCCCCTAGAAGTTATAAGTGTGTAAGTTACACAGCTGTCCCCCTCCAAATACACACACACTTCACTTAACCCTCACAAAACCTGTGTCTTGTGGGTATTTCTTTGGACTAGAAAAAGTAGACCCACATCGAGCACTTATTTTTCACAACACTAAAGTCTCAAGTGCTGGCTATGAGCCTCTGTTACGATTACAGCCAAGACAACCCTAGGGAACAGTTCTACTCTGAAACACATGGGGTCTCCACAAGTCGGAATGGACTCCATGGCCACTAAAACAAGAAGGAGGCCTACGTATCTTTGCACCACAAGTTCCCACCGTTTCCCTCCTGATGAGATACAAGCAGACAGACAATGGAAGGCTGATTTTCTGGTAACTATTTAGAGCTACCAAATATAGGAAGAAGAGAGAAGAAAAAGTACAATTTATGGTAACCATCTGGAACCAACCCACCCTCCTTAAGGTGACATCTGTCTAGCAGAGGGGCTTAGTCACACAATAAGTGAAGCTGGGATCGTGATATAAACCCAGCTTCACCCTGTCAGCCCTCAGCCACAAGTGGCTTCTGTGGTGTGGTCCATAGGCAATGGTCACCATATAGTCAAGATCCTGGACAGGTGTCCACAGGGGCTGTAGAGGCTCCATCTCAGCAGAAGATGCCCCCCAAGAGTTATCTTCCAGGAAAAAAAAAAAAAAAAAAAAACACTGCCCTTGAGTTGATTCTGACTCAGAGCAACCCCCATAGAGTTTTCAAAGCTGTTTGAGTTTGTGGCCTATTGTCCAGTTGTCCTACTGTTTAGAATACAATTAAACATTTATAAACAGCTAAGTTAAAACAGACTGCCTCCTATTTCTCCCACAGAGCAGCTGGGGGTTTGAACCACTGGCACTCTGGTTAGCAGCCAAATGCCTTAACCACTGTGCCACCAGAGCTCCTTAGAGTCATCTGCAGAGGGGCAGTCAGTATCTGTGTGCAGCAGGCAACAGTGACAAGGACCAACAGTGACAAGGACCAACAGGCAAGGAGAGCTTCCCAGCAGCTCCCGTTCACATTTTAGAGACGAAGAAATTAGGGCTGGTGCATGTTACATAACCCACACCATCCTGTACCTGGTAAGATGCCAAGGGAAGAAAGCTGATAGTCATTTTCTTGGGCTTAATACAGAAGAGCTCAAACTCAATTAAAGTTTGTTCCACACAAGCTTTGCTCTTTTGTGCCTACCTGGCAAACATGGGGTTTTATAAAAATTCCTCTCCCGGCATCTTCCTAAACAAGCAGTGAGGCCTAATCACAAAACAGTTACTACAATACCAACACAGAACCTTAAAGGTATTTATTGCTGTTGTTAGGTGCTGGCAAGAAGGTTTCAACTCTCAGCGTCCCCATGGGACAGAGAGAACTGCACCATAGAGTTTTCTAGAATGTAATCTATAAAGGACCAGAATGCCAGGTCTCTCTCCTGCACAGCCACTGGTGGGTTCAAACCACCAGCCTTTCAGTTAGCTGCTAAGCACCCGCGTGCTAAAGACCAGCAGAACTGAAATCCATGCTTACCGTGCCAAGCAAGTTCACGGCACAAAATACAAGCATAACATGAGGAGACTCAGTAACACTGTCCATGTGCACAAGGTATTAGTCCACTAACACTACAAGGAGGGAGCCACGAACGGTAAGGAGATGTGAAGGTCAGGTCAGATGCCTCTTCTAACAAAGAACAGTCTCAGTGAGGAAATGAAATTTCAGAAAGAGATTTAGAGTAGAAAGGGACTGTTTCAGGCCCAAGAAGATGGCTGATGTGACAGGTGCAATAAGGGTTCTCGGTAGGGCCAAGCGTACAGGTATCAGTGAGTGAGAACTGAAGAACATGAAGAACATTCCCCTGAGAAATGGGCCAGAAGCCAACCCCAAATAATCCAAAGTTTCGAGAGGAAGGAGAATTTTTCAGTAGAAGCACCCTGCTGCTACCGACCTAAAACCACAATCCATAGTAGCACAAATGGGGCCGCGGTGGTCATGTGGTTGAATTCTCACCTCCCAGGGAGACCATGGTTCAATCCCTGGCCAAAGCAACGCGGGTGCAGCCACCACGCCCTGCCAGTGGATGCCTGCGTCATGCTGAGGGGGGCTCAGCAGAGCTCCCAGACTAAGGCTGGGGAGAAGGGCTTGAAAATCTACTTCTGAAAATCAGTCAGTGAAAGTCCCAGGGGGCGCGAGTGAGATGTGCGGCCCACCGTGGGGATGCCACGTGGCCAGGCAGTGTTTAGCTTCGTCGTGCATGGGGTCCCCATGAGCTGGGGGCTGGCCAGACAGCTGCTAACAACAGCAGCAGCAGCTTACAGACTTTTCCCTTAAGTTACCTATACATTGAATGAGCTAGGTTTTAAATAGCATGGGACCCAGAATTTGTGGCCTACCATTTGGAATACAATTAAACATTGATAAACAGCTAAATTAAAGCATTATACAATCCCACAAGGAAGGAAAAATCTTCAGTTAACTAAACCATTCTAAACATTTTAGAATGTGTAGCAAGCCATATTCTTTTGCTTATTTGTCAAATATACAAAACACTTCTGGTTGTCAAGCCTTTGCCTCCAAGAGCTTATAGAAAGTCTGTGAGG